TATTACCTTGCACATCAAACTAAAAAAACCTATTTAAATGTACAATTCAATGCAGCCCTTTTGGAATTAAATGAGGATAGAGCAATATTAGTTGTGGACTATAAGATGAAAATATTACTAAAAACTGCGCGTGAAACTAAACAAGAGTTTTTTGGAAAGAAAGGCTGGTCATTACATACGGTATTGTTATACACTAAATTCAAAGAAAGTTCTGAAATCAACATACAAGCCATAGATCATTGGTCTACAGATGCTTGTCAGGATGCATGGTTTTCTGCGTCCTCACTACATTCAGTAATTGAAAATTTAGAAATAAAACCAAAATGGATTAGTATAATCTCTGACAATGGTCCACACTACCATGAGCAAATGGTATGAATGGTATAGAATTCAGATAAAAAAATGGATATTTCTGAAGGTGGGTGAAGCAAAACTACAGTAGACTCTCATCATGCCTAAGTTTGTATTATAAAATAATATTTTTTTTTTAAAAAAAACATACTTATAATAAATTTTTAGATATCACTCTCAATAAAATGATATATTTGGATTGGTAAAGAAATTCAAGAAGGTAATGACATTACTTCAGCTATCAAGGATATTCCTAGCACTTCAGTTGCTCATATAGAACCAAATCGTGCTAAAGGTAAGAACTAAAAAGCTCTTATACGCGTTCTGGTTCTGGTGTTTTTTCGTTTGAACGCATAAAATTATAAAAAAAAAAAATAATTAGTAACAAATAAATAAATAATTTGTTTACAGAAAATAAAATAGGTAAATCTATGAATATACCCAGTATATCCAATTGGTTTGAGTGGACTTGGCCAATAGAAGGTGAAAATGCAGGATATATAAAAGCACAAGCTATACCAAATCTTGAAAATTGGACATTATTTTCTCCTGCTCAGATTCAAAATTTTACAAAAGGTGAAGTCAATAAGCCATTACCACAATTATCTGAATCAATAAAGTCAAAATCTCCATGGAAAATACCTGTTCCACATGCATCAGGTAAAATGATGTATATTCATCATTGAATATATTAAATCTACAATACCACCAAATATTGCTAGCAGTGGTTCCAACATTTGCCCAGAAATTAGTTTTTTTTTACAGTGATAGAAAAAACAGACTCTAAAACATTATCTATTTCACCTATTACACATTCTTACCCCATTTTTGTGTACAAAATTTACCCTTCTATCTATATAGTTATATATCCCTAATATTATATTGGCATATTAGGAGTTTGTCCAAAACGATTACTATTACAAGAATTAACGAATGAGTTGCAAAATTGGGGAATTGACTATGGAAATCAAAATAAGAGACAAAAGTTAGTAAAAATTTTAGATAAAGAAATAATGTAGGAAACTTTGGAAAATGAAGGTAATTACGTATATTTGTGATTTTTACAATTACCAGTTATAAAATTTTCTAACTTCATTTTTTTTCAGGATCACGTCTGAGAAATCGAAGTATGTTGAATAAAGAATACAACATAAGGTAAATTAGATATATTTCTGACTCAAAGAGACATATAGGATTGAATATTTTATATATTGTAAACCTTTGAACGCAAGTGAATTTCCACTAGCAAGTGGTTGGGTAACAAAAGAAGTCCAAAAATATGGAAAAAAGGGTGGCAGAAAACACATAAAAAAAAGGATTTTAGCTATTTTAGAAGAATGATTTTTGGCTAGAAATGTTGATAAGAGTCACTGAATGACTGCTCAAGATATGTGAAATTTATTAACTTTAAAAGCACAAGAAGGAGAAATTGAAAGTTTGGACATACCGAAAGTAGTGACTATACAAGGCTGGATAACCCATTACGCAGCACAGTTATACGAAAAAAGTGCTTAAATAGTGCTTAAAGAAAGTTATTTATAATATATACATGTGTCTTATATACTAATAGTATAGTCATTATAGGTAGGAATCTGGCGAAGTGTCAAATAAAAATAAAAAATTTTATTATAAAATTTTTTTAAAAATTACATCATTAAAAACTTCAGGATTAGTGTCATGTAATACAGGTATTTTTATTGTATTTAAGTACATATAAAGAATGGTTACTCAATGATAAAAAACTGCGTATCCTAAAAAAAGTAATAGTGATCGATAAAAATTTGCACTAAAATTAACTATAAATTTTTTGCAGTTGATTCACATATCACGAATTAACTTTTTATATAGTAATTTTATTTCTTTAACTATTATTTTTTTTAAAAAAAATTATATAAAATAATATATTTATTTATTTATATTAATCTTCAATCAAAATATTTCAATTTTATCAAATAATTTACAAATAAGATATTATAATCAGTATTTTAAAATATTTAAGTAAAATTATAAAATTCATAATTCATATTAAATCAGATTTTAATTTTAATACAACTTAATTAATTTGATAATCTAATTTATCATTATTTTAATCAAATAATTTACTATTATTTAAGAAAAATGATTTACTAATATTTTCTTAAATAATATATTATTATTCAATATTTTATAATTAAATCAATTTATTTAATTTTTTAAAAAAATGATTTATCATCATTCAACTGAAATAATTTATCATTATTCTAGTTAAATAATATATTATCATTTAAGAAGAATAATTTATTATTATTTTTTTATGAATGATATATTAGTATATTCTTAAATAATTTAAATAAAATATTTTAGGTTATTTAAAGTATATTGATTTATTTAAAGTTAATTGAATTAATTAATTAGAATATTTTTAGATTAATTAGTTACTTCAGATTAAAATAAATTAGCTAACCTAAATCTAATTTAAAAAAATTTTTTATATTAGATTATCTAAACTGACTCAACTTATTTAAAGCTTTAATTACAAATATCAATTTTTTTTAATTTTATAAAATAACTTATTATCAAATAAATACAAAAAAATAAAATTTAGTTTATTAGATTTATCTTATTAAAATCTATTAAATTTATTAAAAGATTATATTTTTATTTTTCTAAAATCAATAAATAGTAAAATATATAAATTTAAAATTTAAAATTTTTTTTATAATAATTTATTATATATTTATCTTTAAAATATAAATAATTAATTACATTTTTTTATTTAAAAAAAATATTATATAATTTATTATAAAAATATTAATTTTTAAATAAGTTATTTTAAAAATATTTAAAATTATTACAAATAATTTTAATTATAAATAAAATTGCAAATAAATTTGTTTGCAATATACTTGAAGGAATAAAATAGAATACAAAAATTAAAATAAAGTTTAAAAAATATAGTAAAATATCAATAAACTAATATTTAAAAATAAGAAAAATTATAATTATCAAATATGACTTATTTTAAATATATATAATATATATTTATAGAAAAGGTTAACTATATTTATTAATAAAATATATAAATAAGAATATTATATAAAATTATATATATTAAAATATGAAAATTTTCAATTTTTGTAATTTTAATATTATTTATTTAATTATAATGATTTAAATATTAATAATATGAACATTTTGTAATAGTATTAGATTCTGTCATATATCTAAATTAAGGAAAGAAGAATGATGATTCACCATTATATTATAATGTTAAAATCAGCCATACATCCCTAAAAATGTCTCTCAAAAGAACCACTCTTTCTGAAATCCAAAAAAGAGAACTTTGTATTTACACTTGAGATAATAAAAAGGAAGAAAATTACCAAAAAATTTTTTTTTTTTACTTTTTAAGCTAAATATTATTTTTTTAATAAAATAAATCCAAATTTAATATTAATTCAAAAAATTTTTTTGGTAGTTTTCTTCTTTTTTACTACAAGCACTCATATTAATATTTTTAATAACTTTTGTTAAAAAAATAAATATGTATTGATTTTTTATATTTATTAAAAAGTTATAATAATATATTTTAAAAATATAATAATCATTAAAATATAAATAAATTTATTACAAATTAAATTATATTTTATTATATGTTTATTTATTTATTTACTTTAATTTATTTTTATGATATTATAAATAATATTAAAAAATTAAATAATATATATAAAAAAATTAAAAATATCATTTGATAGAAATATTTTGAAATTATTAAAAAAAGAAAAGAACTATTATTTTGATTATTTGGATTATAAAGATATTATTTTTAAATATAAATATTAATATCAGATTTATTAATTTACTTTATTTAATAAATTTTATAATTAATAAATTAAGAATATATATTGATTATAATTAAAACTTATTTATAAAAATAGCTTATTTTTATAATTTATATAAGAAATAATTAAATATTATCTAAAAATTTTAATTAACAAAAAAAAATAAATTTTTATAAATTTTTATTAAAAAAATAAAAAAAAACTTATTATATTAAATAATGTAAATAAAGTTTTTAAATTTTTTGATTTAAAATTTAACTAAATTTAAATTTTTTAAAGTTGCTAAAAATTTTAGTAAGAAATATATATTAAAAATAATAATGGCTTTATAAATTATTATTTTTTAAAAAGAATTGAATTTTAAAAATAATATAAATGAATATAAGATTTTTTTCTTTTAGCTTTATTATTTATTTTTAATTAAAAAATAATTTAACAAATTTTTTCAATTAGAAATTAGATTTTACTTATTTTAATATAATGCTATATTAGTATAATAAATAATAAAATTTAAAATTTTAATATCTTAATTTTCATTAATTAAAATTAATACCTTTTTTTTTTTTATTAACACGTTTTTTTCTAAAACTTTAAATAAATAATTTATTTTATTTTATTTTTTAAAACCTTTTTTTGATTTTAATTCAAAAATTAAAATTCTTAATAAAAAAATTTTTTAATTATTTTAAATAAATTTATTATAATATTTTAAAAATATTATTGAAAGTTGCATTATGTTAACTGTAATAAATTTTTAAAAATATAATTAATTTTTTAAAATAAATTCATTAAACGTCAAATTATCACATAAAATTTTTGGAACCAACCTTAATCTATTACAAGAATTTCTTCAATATATTTATACCAACGGTATGGACCTTTCTAAATTGAGAAGATTTAAATTGGTAAAAAATAAATGATATACTTATGCAAAATTTTTTAATTAAGAAAATAAATTTTACTTTGTAATTCCGTTTCGTATTTTTCCATCTGATTTCACACTGATGGGCAGAATAATTTTCGTGTAAAATAATGGAGGCATCTTTCCAAAGCTTCTCTCTAACTTCATTAGCAAGAATACCTCGACTTGCCAACTGTACAACCTTTTCTTTATTTGCTTTCAAGTATGTTAATAATGTTTTAATGTCAACTTCCTTCCATCTTTTATTTTTTCCTTTTACAGTAGCATTATACTGAAGGTTTTCGCTTTTATTTGAAAGTTCAGGAGTAAAAACCATCCTTTCTTCATGAGATTGACTTTCGCTTTCATTCGAAGATTCAGAATTAATCGTGGAATTCTCCATAACTGAGTTTCCTTCATGACGTTTATTAAATTTGTTTTCAATTTCATTAAAATATTCGGGAGCAATGGCAGTTGAGCTTTCTCCATAACCTTCATAGGGTTGGAAACCTAAGAAAGAAACAAAAATACAAAAATATGAGATAGGGCCAAGTAAAATAATTGGTTGGAATATTGCATCGGACGCACCAACTTTTTTGTATAAACAGCCAATCAAATAATATTCACGTGACACTTTTGAATAAGATATATAAAAACGGTATCGGAAAATAAACGCCACCGAAATATTACCTTTATAAAACTCGTCTTGTTTGGGAGGAATATATCGTAAATATTGTAACGAGTTTTCGACATCAGTAACAAAACTACAACCTTTAATGAACTTAGAAGAAAGTTGTGTAGATTGGTTTTTTATTAAATAATGAGTTAAATCTTTATTTAGCTGCTCTTCAAAATTTTTTCGTTCTTCCTGTTTAAACTGTTGAAGCTTTACATAATAAATAAATTTATTTTGATATAACTCCCTAAATTCAACAGAAAGTTTTGTACAAATGACTTTATAAAGATTTCGATAATTAAAGGTGCGAAAATAAATATCTTCAGCAGTATTATTATCGTAGAGTTGTAGAATTTCACTAAATGATATATAGAACAATTGATCATTGTAATCATAAAAAAATGGAGATATCGTCGTGTCGTCATAAAGGTCAAAATCCGTAAACGCCGCCATATAGGTAATAACGGTAAGGAAAAAAAAAATTTTTTTTTTTGAAAGTATTTGCTAAAAAAAATTTGGAGAGTATTTATGAACTTTCATTTTGAATTGGATTCAAATTGATTCGATTCGCTGGTAATACGAATTTCATCGTAATTTTCAATTTATATATTGGTTATTTTCTAAAGCAAAGCTAATAATTTGGTAAATGTGGTTATTCAGGATATATCATTTCAATTATAATGGTAGGTCTTTGATGCATGTCACGCTAAGTAACGCAATGATAATTAATATCAACTTTTCAGTAATCCGATCCATTACTCTTTTTGCATTAGGCTGACCACAAAATAAACTTTATTTATAATGACAATGGGAGACCATTGTTTGTATTTGACTTTATTTGATTAGGAACGAAAAACAAAACCATTGTAAATCAAATATTCACTCCCTTACATATCACCGGACGATAATAATGATTTTTGGATTAGAATCACTACACAAATCCAATCCGAAGCGGATCTGATTTTTAAGTCTATTTAATTTAGCAATTATTAATTCATATAATATTTATCACATGCCACTCTTGGAATTAGCGATTATGTGCTTACCTGAATGTATTTTAACATTTTTTAAACGTTCTGTTTTTATATATACTTTTTGTGTAAAAAAAGAAATACCATAGCAATAGATAAGACACACGAGAGAACTTTGAGCAATAATGATTTATGCAAAACTATTTAATATTTGGGGAGGGAGTAGTATAAATATTATGTGATATTAGTCTCGTGTATAAATTGTAAATTTAGGTTCTTTTCAAAATTCTATACCTTTATTATATGTCCGATTATTTCCAATGCATACGTAATTCATCCTACAATATTTTCTTTAATGAAAATTGAATAGGACTCATGTATATAATAGGGGAACGACCTTTACGTTGAGTTAGAATTCTCAACGACTTCAAATTAAATATTACTTGTAATTTTGAAAGAAAGCATCACGATGAATACTTGATCAAATTCAATCATATTTATTGTTAAATTATGTTAATAAATAATAGAAATGAATATATGAAATAATATGAATGATATGAATAATTTTTGAAACAGTCACTTTTTCAATACCCAAAATTAATATTCCATTACATCATCTGCACTATTCTCGACCAGGATACTTTCGGGAGAACCAACTATCAAACAAGCGTTGCCTTGAGGAAAAAAAAAACAAAAAAAAATATGAAATTTATTAATTGTATTGAAAATTAATATCGACAATAATTAAAGTATACTTACTATTACTAGTTTGATCAGGAAAAGGAGAATCTAAATCCGACACTTCTGATTCAATCGAGTTTTGTCTTAATGCAATTATTTATTAATAAGTTGCTAAGTTTTTAAAAATAACCTCGTTAAATTCAATTTATCACTCAAAAACTTGTTGATACGTACCTATACTTACTTCTGCCAAGAATTTCTTCAACTTCTAACCTACACCACAAAATCTGATCTTTTTTCTACATTAAACAATTCAATTTATTAGAATTATTAGTAGTTAAACTTTTAATTTCTGTCTATTTTTAAAGAAAATAATTTTACAATATAAGCCGCCTTTAAATTCTTCCATTTAATTTCACATTGATGAGGCAAGCAAAAGCATTCTTTTTCTCGTAACGCTTCCGAAGCGCCATTCCAGAGAGACGATCTCACTTCCTTAGCTATTGTACCGCGACTTTCTAGTTGTATAACCTTTGTATGATTAGAACGCAAATATTGAAGCAAAAATGAAATTTGTATTTTATCCCAGATTTTTGCTAAAGTAAAAAAGGTAAAAATTGTAAGTTCTTCATTATCACGTGCTTTTGATCAAGATTATTCGTGTAACATGACAACCGCATTACCTGAAGCCAACGAACGAGTCACTCTTTCCTTAATCGTTCCTAAATTTTTCTCAACAAAATCTTGTTGTATTTTTAGTTCGCGATTGGATTCAAGCATTACTTCGTAGATTGTACAATTATTTATTGTAACAGGTTGTAGGTGATAAAATTTATAACCATGGATAGTGGGAAAAACGATGTGTAATAAGCTCAATAATTCAGTTGCAGTGGCAAGGTCTAATAATATTTCCTTACAGGTGAAATTAATATCATCTTTACAAAAGGTCTTTGGATTACCAATAAAATAAATTTCTTGAATATTAATGAAAGGGGTTTCAGTGTGCATTAGCGTTGAATACATGGTTTAGAGTATGATAAATCTCAAGCTTGCTTTATATTTTTTATATTTAATAATTTTTTTCTTGAGCTTGAGGCCCATTTTATTTATAAGAAATATATTTGTTTGTTTTTATGGATCGAAACGAAACGATCTCAATCAGAATCATCTTTAAATCCAAAGAGCTATCCATATTAAGAATTGTACCAAGGAATTATATATTTTTCTGCTTTGGGATCGCGAAATAATCTATATATCATAAATTTTTTATTTTGTTGTAATCTGTTCTTGGGTGATACGGATCGAATTGAGATCGACAAATCCAAATGACCCCATTTAAGCCAACACAGTTTGGTTTAAGACACGTAAAATGGGATTTACAACAAATTACAATGGAAATATGGATTTGATGAAAAAAAAAAAAAATAAAATAAAAAAACTGAAACCATTTTTAAGAATTGTGATACGGATTGGATTGAATATGATATGATGTCATTTTTTACACGAAATGCTTATAAGCTTTGCTAAAAGAACCTTTAAATCACGTATTTCATGTTACAAGAATAGGTGCTAATCTAAATGCCTTAATATTTTGGAATTGTACCAAGTGATTATATAATTTTCTGCGAAATAATCCATATATCATAAATTTTTTTTGTTGTAATTTGTCTAGGTGATACAGATCGAATTAAGATCGTCAAATCCGAATGATTTAAACCAACACCAATGTCAATTTTGAATTGTTTTGGATTAAAATATAAAGAGAATAATAATAGTTATGGATTTGATAAAAATAAAATAAAATAAATAAACTGAAACCATTGTTAAGAATTGTGAACAGTTGAATTTTTAATGTGATGTAATATGACATGACGTAAATCATAAATGCACTATTGTATGTACAATATAATTAGTTTGTGTTAATAGAAACTTTCGTTATGCTTATAAATATACATCCTTTAAATAAATTCTATTACGCCTAGGCATTATGATGCGCAGAAGAACAAATAGCATAGAACTTTCTTTTAGAATCAGTTCACTCAAGACGGACGTTTAACGTCCATTGTTAGATTATTATTCAACAAAGCAGCCTCCACGTCTTCAGCTTTGCGGAAATAAAGTACGCGTGTGGATTGGATATTATAGATGACATTTTTTTAGATTTTCCCAGACATCATTTTTACACAATGCTTATAAGTTTTGCTAAAAGAATCTTTTCATAAACTTACACAGAAATTTATATTGGATTTTTTTTTTGTCTTGACAAATATATTTACAATGTAAAAATAAAAATAAAAAATAAAATCATTTTAGAATTTCATGGTACAAGAATTGGCGCTAATCTAAATGCTTTAAACGGATCCATTTATTGGATGCGATAATTAATTATATGAAATACTTTGTTCAGCTAATTATAGGATTGACGATGATCAATCCTGATTACTTTTGTTATCTTATTATATGAATTCATAATCTCGAATTTAATCATGAATTCAACACAAGTTATGAATGATGCTCACATGCAAATCAATAATGTTCGACGATTATGTCTATGCAACAAATTGGTCAAATCCTTCGAGATAACTTAGCTTACAACTACATATCACACTTTACCTCCCACAATTTTAGAGGAGATGAAGGAAATTTAACAATCACATAAACATGATATTCTTTGCCCGAATTTAATATTCCTATTTTTTGTTCTCCACAGTGTTAGCTGCGGTACACTCTTTATTGAGGAATCTAACATTATCACTAGCGAAAATTATGAATGCGACAACTCTCGGCTCAAAATTAAATGGACGAAGGGTCTTGTGCTCTTATTGCTTAAATTTTTGAAACTACGTATAAGAGAGACGTAGAAAATTAAAAAGAGTGTGTTACAGCAAAGAAAGTTAAATATAATAATACAATTAACAAAATGATTATATCCTCATTATTTCTTCATTTTCATTTGGATATTATTGTTAGTAAACTATCGTAAGTGTTAATAATTTATGATTTATGAATTAGTCCAAAATGAAAATAGAATAAATTTAGGACTAGGACTGATTATAATTAATTGTTTTTCTATTGGAATGTGTTATATTTGAAATATTTTATGATTATATATATATTTTATTATTGATTTACTCTTATTGTTTTTCAAAACCTAGTATCATTATATTTGAATAGAATTGTTTCATATCAGTAATCAGATTTAAATTGTTTATAAATAGTTGGAGATCGAAAACACCGAAAATAAGATAAAAAAAAAAAAAATGTTTCATAAATTATTTTTTAGAAACGAAATAAAAAAAATTAAAAGGTACAAGAATTTTTTTTAATGGTAAATACCGATCATGTTTATTTTAATGTCTCAAAATCCTTCACGTCAAATAACGATAAATTTATTGTAAGAAATATTAAATGGGAAGTTGTGTAACATTTTTTTTAGCAGAGGGTCAAAATATCCCTCCGAACATGATAAAAATAATTCCAAACGAAAGTTCCGACAAGATTAAAAAAACCTCTTTTTTCCAGTTGTACAGTCCGACGATCTTTTTAAGTGCAGTCATGCGAATTTTTTATGCAGACTGAATAAATTTTAATAAGGCTTGGGAACTGCTTATTATCCCCGCGAGTTTAGTAGGCCGCAATTTTGCCAACGAAAAAAAAGGGTTTCTTCTCACGACAGTTGGAAAATTAATTTTTAACCAGACATTACCGACTAGTTTTCCTTACCACCATCAGACTGAGATAACCATGCTGAGTCTTGTAATGTTAATTAATCGGACTGTTAGAATTTATATGACCTATATA